CGATGAGGAGGGGAGAGGGGCCGTCTTTACACAGGCTACCGCCTTAACGATCGTCAAGAAAGGAATTAAGGGGTTTTGAAAAAAGAGGTATTACCAGACATCACAGAGGCTGTGTATGCTGTGTCACTAACTCGGCAGACTTGTCAAAATTGAAAGCAACACCCATACTAAGCCTTTACTTATGTTAGCGGGGATCTTTTTCTCCTCATCGATGCGTATGAATCCGCCAACCCTTTGATTGACAACAAAAGGCGAAATAAGAGTAGTTGTAGGACTTATCTTGCGTTGTGTAAGCGCCTTGGCTCAAGCACGAAAGGGAGTTCTTAATCTTCGTCCTGTTTTCGGGCTACGAGAGATTATTTTGTTCCTTTTTTTTTTCTTTTCGCGTTAGGTTTATTGCGATATGACTTGTGATCACGGATGGACTCCGGTCCCTCGGTCTCTAATAGTGATACCTTACGTCGGATGAAAGACAATGGACTATGGTGGTATGACGAGAATGTTGCTTCTGGGGAAACATTACCAGAAATTCGAGTCATTTTGTTCATGCGATGCTTTTATTCCTGCGGTCTATCGAAAATCTACAAAGCATACTCGGTGGGATCATATCGCCAAAATAAAATGGCGTATTCATCAGGGAGATTTGAGCGGGTAGACTATGTTGCTCTTTATAACCTTTCTTCCGTGAATCTGGAACCTCCTTTAAAAATAGGAAATAATAATTAAAGAAAAAAAATGAGGAATTTCAATTGACAAGGCTAGTTTAGTTTCGTCCTTCCGGTTCTTGAAATCTTTATGAGGGCTGGTAGTTCGAAGATATATTGCTGGTTTTCAGTGTCACGCCTTTCAAAATAGATCAAAATAGAAATCAAAACCGTTTAATAGATAAAGTTCAGAATCTGGGAAATGAAAGGAGGTACATATACAACGACCCTCGCCAGGATTCAGGTCAGAGGAATATTTCGTATACGAGATATCCGAAGAAATGTTTTACCCAAACTTATAGAGATTTGTATGGAGACGCCATGTTGGTGCCCACCTGGATCACCGGCTGGATGAGCTCCAATAGCGGACAGAAACCAACAGAAACATCTGTTAATGAGTTTTGCTACAAAAGTGTGAATTTATTCTTCGAGAAACTCATAAACATTACAAGTAATACTTTTTCTAATACATGAACTATTTAAATTGCAAAATTTCCTGAAATAATGACAGCTCTCTTTGCCGTCATGTAAATGCCGCGTCACGCAAAAGCTTAGAAATCCAAGCGTACTCTATGAAAAAACCAAGAACCCTTTTGAGGCGAAAATTTGTATGAAAATTAGTTTTCAGCTGCTCTAATGCGTCGTGAAAGTAAAATCTCGGTAGGGTCGATAGTTTTTTAGTTTGAATTTTAGTGAAGTCATGTGAAAACCAACAATTGGGTACATTACAATTCCCCATACATCGCGTTCTTACCTTAAACTGCCTGGTTACGTATGTCCTAGCATGGCAGACAGTGAAAAGGTCGAAAGTTTTAGCGATTTCTGAAGCCATTTTTGACCGAATCGCACGATGGCGGTCACGAGTGAAGAGGCGAAATATTTTACTATCAAACCTTCCGATTTGTCCGAGGTTTTCCATCGATTGACGGAATATTCCGAAGCGAATCTGGGGCATTAATTTATCACGAAGCTAAGGAGATCAAGGGAAGATGTCCTGACGCAAGATTTGCGGTCGAAAATGGAGTTTTCGGTGAGTAATATTTACCAAAATTTGAGAGTGTTTTAGGAAACGCGATTTGTCCAAGTTATCTTCTGTAAACCACCTAAAAAGTCTTATCATGAGAACCGACACAGTGATTGTTCGGTTAAGATCAGGGGAAGTAGGCTGCTTTTCCTGACACACAAGATATTTGAAATTTTGTGGTTTATCCCATACAATCCTTTGTAGCCTCGGGCCGCCATTTTTAAAGTTTAATGTTGAGGAAATTTGATCGGTGACTCGAATTTCTGGTAATGGAAATGATCCATCACACAATACTGACATGATTTCTTCAGCATTCTTGCTTGTCAGCGGAATTGAGTTTAAGATCAGGCGACCCTCACGCGACCCTCAGCACACCCTCAGCACACTGCCCTTCTGAAAACCACAAATCTCTGTCTAGCTGGACCAAGACGTTTAGGTCCAAAATCACAAACTATAGTGACTTCAGAAACGGTAAGGTTTTGTCCAGAGATCAATGTTTGGGACGATGTAGTGTCTAATCTGGGGGCCAGTACCAAACAACCGAAGGCTTTAAACAAGCTGCTTGTAACGGAGAAATGCAAGACACCAATTCGATTGGCTTTTGGTGTCACTGCTGGGGTGCCGGAGATGGATCGGTGATGATGATTGGTGGAGGGGGTTCAAGCTGTAGAAGGGCTGATCATGGGATTGGAGTAACCGAAGCTAACGCTCCTTCACTAGCAAACTTAGAGGAAAAAGATTTTGGCAGTGAGACTTTTGACAATTTATTTAAGTTGTATTGTTTCAACTTGTGGGTAAAGTAATTCTCAAAAAATCCTGGTTCTTTTCAAGGATGTCATTCCAAAGTTTTGACTCGGATTGAGTACCGTGGAGTGTCACTGTACATATAATTCCACGCCAAAAGCCTGGTTAAACCGGCCAGGGTTTACCAGGGTGCAAGCCCGGTTGAACCAACCAGACTTTTCTGGTTTTCAAAGCAGGCATACCAGACTTTACCATATGTGCAAAAAGCCGGGTTAACCAGGGTATTCCTGGTAAGTCTGGTAAGCCTGGTTATCCTAAGAACCAAGAAAACCAGACTTTAACCAGGCTCTTAAAGTTTTAAATGAACCAGGTTTACCAGACTTTACCATACCGTATTTATTCGATTAACCGCCCTGGGCGCTTATTAAATTTTTGGACCTTGAGAGTGGGCGCTTATTCGAGGTGGGCGCTTATTCGAGGCTGGGTGCTTATTAAATTTTCACCATTTTCAAGAAGTGTAACATGTATATTTTGCAACAAAACAGTAAATGGTAATAACAAAACGCGAAGATTTAACAAAGCAAGGTTTCTGCAAAACACTCTGACGATAACTCCGTCTTCGGCCAAGTGTGTTATTAGCACTTACTCCTTTTTGCGGGGTGGTAGGTGTAAGGGGGTGGGCGCCTATTTAAGTTTGAGTGGCAGTGGGAGGGGGTGGGGTAGGGGTGGGCGCTAATTCGAGGCTGGGCGCTTATTCGAATAAATACGGTATGTACAAAAAGCCTGGTTAACCACGGTATTCCTGGTAAGTCTGGTAAGCCTGGTTATTCTAAGAACCAGGAAAACCAGACTTAACCAAGCTCGTGAAATTCTGTCTTGTAAGTAGGACAACAGGCAAGGAATTCGGGAGTTAAATGACGCTATATTTTAGCGTGAATTCGTCAATCTAAACTAATCTCCTATTTTTAAGTTACAGATGAAAGATATATTTATTGATTCAGTTATGATATTTTAGTGATCCGTCTTTTTTTTTGTTGGCCTATTTTTGGAATTAAAGATGTTTCAGGGCGGGTCACGAGGTGTTCCTGATTTTACAGACAGGCTATAATTTTGTGACTTACCCGCATAAACTTTGAAACGCAAGAAGTGTTCGCATGGAAGAAGTTTGTGATGTTTCAATTTTATTCAAACATCATTTGTACCGTTGAATTTATCCAGCCGATAATTTACGCTGAGGCAGCAGAAGGTAATCACACTGTGTGAAATGAGTTGTGTCATGGTCCCGATATTAGTCGATACGAACCCGTATTCTTGAGAAAAACGGAAGTATGGAGAGGTATCAGGTTCCGGACACGCAGCGTATACATTGAGTATCAGGACCCGTATTTTTCCTGAATCGAACTTTTTCCGCGGCATGGAATATCCGATATCCGGACACGTCATTGAAACGCAGCGTGTCAGGACCTGTAAAAGTCCTTATTTTTCTAGATTTGCCGAGAATCATGGAGTGCCGTTGACGAACGCTACAATTTTTGCCTTTCATTTTCACTAAAATTCCACGCTACGGATTGTGTTATCCTAATTTATAATGCAAACGTTCACGACACGTGAAGATTGTATTCCATAGAATGCGATGAAATTCCACGATACGTGAAGTTTCGAGTATTTTCACTTCCCCGAAATTCCATGGTACGTGAAATACCAGGGACTCAAACACCACTGGAATTCCACGGTTCATGAAATTACCGATGTTGAAATCGTGGCAAAACTCCCTGATACGCGAAAATTGCAACACGTTTATTGTACTAAATTCGACGATACTTTCAATTTCCATGCATGATATTGAAAAGTGATACCGCCTTTTCACTCCATTGATACCTCACGATATGTTTCCTGGTCAGCATTGCACGTCATTGCATTTCAGGGACGTATTTGTGGGGTTGCAGTATTATACTGAAAATGATTTTTAACAGTTCCAACCATTCTACCATTTTTATCACCGCCCCAGTCTTATTCACTTTAACCCTTTAAGCCCCAATATCCACATACAAATTCTCCAAACTGATCTTTATACATTTTCTTAAAGAATAAGTTGAGAGAATTTGATGAAAGATCAAAGCATTTTCTCTTAGGTGATCAATTTATTAATTCTCATAACCAAATCTGTTGACAATCAATGGATATGGTTAGGAGAAAATTTTAACTAATTGCCCAACGCAAGAGGGAAAAACACAGGTTTTAAATCGCGTAACATCATTTATTTTAAAGTTCAAATACAGGAACACAGTTTGATAATTCTGACAGGAAAACGTGCAAAGTTGTGTCAGTTGATAAACCTAACTCTAAAAAGTGTTCGAACATGTTGACAATTCATTCAAAGAAATATACAAGGTACAGTTGCAAGGTTGATTGAAATATTCAGAATGAGTGATTTCAAAACATTTCAATTTTTTCTAAAAAAAAGTTTTGCAAAAATTAAAACAGAATTCAAAGTGAAGATATTAAATTTAATCAAATAATGGCAACAACTAGAGAGTAATCCATCCATTCTCCATCCTATGTCCATCATCACTGCCACTCCTTACAGTAAAGGAGAATGTGGGGAGGGAGGCTGCAGTGGAGGAGGATGTACTGGTGTGACAACTAGCTCCACTGCTAATCAACGACAATGGCCATGCATGTGAACTAAAGGGTGGTTGGTTTGGGTGGATCTCCTTAAACTCTGGGGTTTGGAAGAATTAATCAAGGAGCTGGCATCTAGCTGCTGCAGGGTCTCCTTAACCATCTGTTCGCACCTTCATCTGTTTTACTAAAATCTGCAAAGCACAGTCATTGAAAAGAGTGAGCAATAACCACAAATTAGAGCCCAAAATAGTGGTTAAGGTAGTTTATTTTTGTACATGTCTATGAACCTCTTTACTACCCATGCTTATAATAACATCATCAACCACAACAATAATAATGATAATAATAATGTGATGTTAAGGATAATAAGACTTTCAAATTTCTTTCGGATTTCTGTATATAAACAGAAATGAAACTGGATCACAATCGCCTTGACATCGTGTGTGTGGACCAACAGAGCAAAAATTGTCTCATCACTGATATTGCATGTCCTTGTGACAAAAGCGTGGACATCGAACAAGAGATCAATAACAAGTATAGTCAACAAGACTTAGTATCTTCATCTGGCGTGAAGATACTACTTGTGGAAGATGAAAGTGTAAAAGTTGCCCCTTTTGTTTTGGAGCACTGGGTACTATTCTGAAGACCTGGAGGTTTAACTGAAAAAACACAAATAATTCTGGGATTGAGTTGGCACTGCACTTCAAAGAACAGTCTTGCTGAGATCAGCAAGAATCCTCCAAAGTGTCCTTGAAGTTTAAGGTAGCTTGTTGCCACCCAATAAATTCAATGGGTTTGAAATTTCTGGCATTGACATACCTGCTGTGAGGCATGCACAAAAATAAATTGGGAATTGAAGGAAAAAGACAGGTGATTGTCCTCAATAACATTATTATTATCAACAGCTGAATAAAATAAGGGTACTAATAGACCTTTTTACCAATACGGTGGCCATATTGAATTAATTCAATATAAGGAGTATTATAGGATGCCCAGGGGACATGAGCACATTTCGCTTGTATTTTGGAGTGCTTTTCGGGACATTTTTTTCTTAAAGTTTTCTTAGAATAAGATTGTAATGGGAAAAAAGATCCTTGTGCCGTGTTTGGATGTAATCATGATCACCTTTTTCCCAAGAAATATACGGTGAAAGACCATATTTCTAATGCTAAACTAGAAAAACGCGATCATTATTACATCCAAACAGGGCACAAGAATCTTTTTTCCCATTACAATCTTATTCTAAGAAAACTATACGAAAAAATGTCCTGAAAAGCACTCCAAAATACAAACTAAATGTGCTCATGCCCCCAGGGCATCCTATAATACTCCTTAAATCGAATTAATTCAATATGGCTGCTGTATCAGTAAAAAGCCCTATTAAAAGCAATTTACATATACACTGTAGATAAACTATCTTCAGATCATACGTACAGCTATTTCATACATTATTTTTTTAAAAGGTTAATTTGCACAGTAGTTCAAAATAATATTATCTAAACTAAAGGTAATTTGGACAAAACCTGGAGCTGCGATACAGTGTTTTTGAAAAAGCAAAGCCGAATTAATGAAGGGTGAAATGAAATGTAATGCTGTATTGGTATAAAATAGATTCTCAATAATTGCAAATCTATTATGTCAATGCAGTTTTCATAAAACAGCTTGTGTGTTTATAAATCAAGCACTACACCTACTGGAAAACGCGACTGCATGTACCACTCCAATGAAGAGGTCCCAAAACAAAATACCATATTTATTTGATTAAGTGCCTTGCCTGGGTGCTCACTAAAGTTTTGCACCTTGAGAGTGGGTTATTATTCAAGTTGGTCACTTTAATATGTGTATTTGGGCTGGGTGTTTAATGAATTCTCAAAGTTTTCACCAAAGGAATTTTGTTGGAGATAGAGTAATTTTGTTTGAGTTCCACAGCAGATTTTTAACTGTTCATTGAAAATTTCTTTAAAGGGGCTATGTCACCCAACACACATGCGCGAGCCAATGAAAACAAACTTGAAAAAGACAGCCCAACTTTTTCAAGTTGTGTCGGAGATTTTGGAAGGCTGTTTTTATCTGTCTAAATCTCAGCCATCGTTCGATAGTTAGCGAAGTTTTGTATTAAGAATCATTCTATGGTGATTACAGAACAATTTTATGGCGTTATTTTAAAATTGTTTGCCTGTGGAATGTTTTTACGTGCATTTACTGTGTCCTCTTATCAGCGGCCGTTGTAATGGCAGAGTTAATGACGGCTACTCCACAATGAGTGATGGAATCTTTGATGCAATCTTCCCTATAGTTCACAGGACCTTTCTATTGAGTTATTTTAGAGGCTGCTGGCTCTTGGATTTTTCTTGTGCTCAAAGTATGTGGACATATAATGAAGCGGCTATCGAGTTGGCGGCGGCCGTTTTTTGTAAACTATTACAAGAGCATCAGGCCATGAGTTTCGTGACGAAACTAAACTCCTGGCGAAGGAAACATTCTAAAATTCGGCTAGATTCCTTCTTGTATTTATCTCGATTCACGGCAAAGATAAACACGACCGTTTGCTCGTCCAGATTGTTCTCAACGGACTTAGAGAGGCACCTTAGTACGAGTTAGATCCTGTAAATGCCATGTTTTTGAACTGTTTGTGTTGGAGCATAATTTTGGAAAATAGCAGAGTTTGCTTTCCCTTTTTATCAACGGACTGCTTATAGTGGAGTAGTATACCAATGATGCTGGGTTCTGTTTTTCTCGACGTCGCAGTGATTCGGCACGATCGAACAATTTTGCGCGATAATGTATGTTTCCCTAAGATCAAAACAAAGACTTGGTCTCTTGTTCTATCAGCATCTAAATTATAAAATCAATAGCGACAGACAAGTCTAATTGTTAATGATTTGAAACAGTCTTGGTCTTTATCTTCGGTCTAGCGTCTTTTGTAGCTCGTTTGTAAAATACAACTTCCATTTATTTTGTTGAATAAGACAATATGTTGTTGTTGAATTTTTGTTTGCGCTCTATTTTATGAATGGCATGCGTTTTTACTTCAAAACTACAAGTAAAATTGTCGTCGCAATTTTATTCTTGATCTAGCATAACCAGAGAAGAAACGTTCCATAAATTCTATCGAAATATCCCTTATCTAAACCCATTTCGCTAAACCTCTCTAAATTCGGAACCTTGGACGTGACAGAGAACATGAAGAAAGTCACGCGTTTTAAAAAACAATAGAATTTTGACAGTTGAAAGTAATTTGCATAACCTCACAGCGCACATGGAGAAAGTCACGCGTTAAAAACAATAGAATTTTGACAGTTGAAAGTAATTTGCATAACCTCAGAGCGCATGCTCTCCAGCTGACATAGCCCCTTTAAAATACTGTACTAAGAAAACTTGGTCTCTTAATTTAGTAGAACTTAGTCTTTTTCAATCTAGCTGGTATGGGGTAGGCACTTATTCGAGGTTAGGAGATAATTCATTTTTTTTCTGCCTATAAGGTGGAGGGTTATTGGAGGTGGGCAGTTACTTGAGGTTGGGCACTTTATCAAATAAATAATAAGGTATTCTATTTTCTTTTCAGCACTTGTTGTTACATGTAATTACAAATTCTCAGTAACATTGACTTTTCTTCTATTTTCTGGTACAAACCCCTCAACCCCAGTGTCACTAACCTGCACAATATTGCATAGTGCTCCTAAGATGTTTGCCTAGTACTGAAAGGAAAATCAGGAATCAATGAAGTTCACTTAATTACTTTTAACTGTCACTGCTGCCTTAATTACCCATTGAAATGTAAGATACTGAGTATTTACAAATTAATGTACAGGGGCTGTGCCACCACAGTCTTAGTTCACTTTGTTAATATTAAACAATAAATGGTGTGGGATGAGGTTTTGTGATATCCAGAAATAATCAAGGAGGAGGATTGACTAAATGACATCAGCTGAGCCGAAGGCTGAGGCTGATAACACATACTGAGACCTTGATTATTCCAAATATCACAAAAACCAATTCTAATAGTTGTTTCATTATGCATTGTTTTCAAGAAAACAAGGACAAACACAGAATTGCATGGAACACAGTTTGACATTCCTCTTAGAAATCATACTTGGTGCACACCAGGGGGTAGAGACAAAGTCAGGCTTATGGCGTACGATCCCTGCCAAAATTCATGGTTTCAATTTTAAATGCATCATTTAAATCTCTAGCCTCGATACTTGAATTTTATAGCTGAATTCAAAATTTTACACTCTTCCTTTAGAAGAAAACGCTTTTATGCGCGCGTCCCTTAGCTTTTAAACTCAACTCTTCTGTTTGACCTTGCTCGCTGTGTATTTTCAACTCGCTTCGTCAAATCACATAGTAGAACCATGCAATTTTCAACTCGGCGCTATGAATAAAACTATACACCAGACAAATTTTCCAATATTGCTACTTTTTATAAGCTTGAATGCCTAAACCAATACTCAGGGTATTTTGCCACTTACCGAGTCATATTTCAAACTCAACCATGTGTATTTTCAACAAGACTTGTGAATTTTCGTTCACGCTTCAGTGATCATTGATCAAGACCAGGGAGCCTCCCTGGGTCAAGACAATAGAGGCCTTTGTCGGGTGGGTGGCTCTTTAGTCCATCGTGCTTCGTGCATATTGCACAAACATGGCGGCAGAGTTTGCACTTGCTTAGATTCCTATCAGTATGGTGACAGGGTGCAAAGAAAGTCATTTTTACAGCTGAAGCTAACATTTACTAGCCCAAACATCATTTCAAATAGCCCCAAAAATGTTTTGATGAGCAGATTGATTTGACAGTACTTCTGTAATTTGATAGCCTGCGCGCAGACGAAATTAAACTCTGGTTAACTCCGTCTGCGAAACAGCGCCGAAATCCTTGTTCTGGACTTCCAGCTGTGTACCCAGATTTGAGTACGCGCCACGATTGGCCAGTTAAAAAAGGCCTTTGTTTTGTTTGTCGTGATCGCCATTCAGGTTGAAGGGGAATTCGAAACGCACTTCCGGTAATTCGTTGAGTCCGTTGGGGGTCCAGAACAAGGATCTCTGCGCTGCTTCGCAGACGGTACTAATCAGAGTTTAGTTATCGTCTGCACGCAGGCTAGTAATTTGAATTCCTCAAAAAACTTCACTTGCCCATTGGGCAAGTTAATAACAGAACTCACTAGTCTGAGAGCAAAATCCACTAGCCCCGGGCTATCGGACACTACTTTCTTTGCATGCTGGGTGATTACAGCAGATTCATGCATCGAGCGGGGTATTCAAATCGCACCACTGTAAATAGTGGGATTTACCTGATTCTATCGTGGCTGGCATGGGATCCGCCATAGCATGTTTATCGAGCACACAGCAATAAAAGGGGTTGGTTGGTAGGCCTATTAAAACGACTTTTACCTCCTACCAAAATGTTGCTCATTCCAATAAGTTTTTTTCCCCTGCTGGGTAGATTATGCTCTGGAAGGTTCTACAATTTCACTGAACAAATGTGATTTTTGGCACTTGTTTCACACTGAGAGGTCATGGAACACATATTGATTTACTGTGGTTTTTGTTTCTGGTCGGCAGGATTTGTCCTCTGACGCAAGAGCATTTTCTTTGACCTCTTTTAAAGCATAAAGCTTTTTATTACGGCTGAATAAGGGTTCTAATTTTCTCTAAAGGGCCTTCTGGATTTGAATATTTTAAGCGATTTTCTCTAGTCCTTTAATGTTATGTTTTTCTGCAATCTTGTATCATTCTGGGCCTAACTCGTTTAGTAGTTTTCTTTGCAGGATATTAAATTATCACAGATAGTGATTTACAGATCCAAAATTATAAGAATAAGGTGCATCAACTATAGATAATTGCATTGTGACTTAGTAGACTTTAGCTTATTGTTTTTCTAAAGATAATATGAGTCTTTTGACTGGAGTGTGTATTTTTTCCCTTATTAGTAATACCTTTTGAATGAGCTTAACTGTCTTTGGACTGTTTTTTATGGCCACCGTCTTTGTGATCAGGCAATCAGAGATTCTGATCAAATCAAACAATCAAAAATTTCATTACAGATCACTTGAAATGAACACTACACATGTGAGAAGGCGCAGGCAAACACTTGCGCTTAAATCACAATGGACTAAAGAACCACCCACTCTCACAAAAGGCTTCTATTATGGAGGGGGGCTCCCTGGTCTTGATCAATGATCACTGTAGTGTAAACAAAAATTCATAAGTTTTGTTGAAAATATACATGGTCGAGTTTGAAATGTGACTCGGTAAGTAGAAAAATGCACCAAGTATTGGCTCAGGCATTCAAGCTTATAAAAAGTAGTAATGTAGGAAAATTTGTCCAGTGTATGTATAGTTTTATTCACAGCGTTGAGTTGAAAATTGTATAGTTCTACTATGTAACTGTAATTTGATGAAGCGAGTCGAAAATACACAGCGAGCAAGGTCAAATAGAAGAGTTGGGTTTAAAAGCTAATGTTGAATTTAAAATTCAAACCATAAATTTTCGTGGGGATCGTACACTATACGGACTGAAAAACACTTTCGCAACTTGCAAAGCAGTCACCTTGTGTGGTAGTTCAGAGGTGAAAAGCGAACCAGCAAAGAGAATAATATTCAATAACTGAAAAAAATGTATCTCATGCCTTTTTGTTTTTCTCACATATTGTATTTGTCCTCGCAAAATCGAAGCGACACTACCTGCATTACTGTGTAAATTCTTAACCAACAACAATGCGTGCTGAACTTCCCTCCCCCACCTCCCTCCGTGCACACAACCTACAGATTAGTCACTAATAGACCTTTCCCGTATTACGCTCTATTGAGCAAACGCAAAGAAATGAGGATGAGGTTCGGGTGGACAATTTCATACAAAGGTCTATCTGCCAGCAGATAACTAACTAATCTGTAGGTTGAGCTTGCAATGTATGATTTCTAAGAACAAACTGTGTATACTGTCTTTGTCCTAATTTTCTTGATAACACTGTACAGGGCTGTGAACATTTTTTTTTCTCTTAAAAGGACATATGTCCCACTAAGACACCATCTTGGTTGGACAAGCAAAGTTTTAGTTGTACATAATGCCAATTACAAGTCCTTATTCTATAGGAAAATTCATTACCTGATGAGGGAATTCCACGTTAAATTGCACGCGAAAACCGATATTGCACGAATCGCGCAGCGATGAGTGTGATATCGGTTTTCAAGTGCAATTTAACGTGGAATTCCCTCGTCAGGTAATGGATTTTCCTTGAATCGCATAACTGAATAAAAATCAGAAAAAAAAAGAAAACGGCAATAATATTGTTTGTTTTTATCTTGAGCGCGCGCTCCAGGAAGCCATTTCAAAGTCAACTGTCAGAACTGTCTTTGCGTTAGCGAATAGGAAGCAAGGTCAGTCGTACACGTTTGACCCTTCGACAACTTTTTTTGTACCTTGTGCTTGTTTTCACATTTGTTGTCAATCTCTTTTACATGTAAACAAGCTTCACACTAATCTTAAGGATAAATAGGGGTATTTCACTAAATTTACGAGCCGTTTATCTATAACATCTTTTTTCAAATTGGTCATTTGCTCGAGAAGGAAAATAATATACACCTTTTACCTCTTCGGTGGCAAAACTGAAAGAAATGAAGTGTCCAAGCAAAAGCACTTAAAGTTTAACGTCGCGATTGATACAATCATGGTAAGTACCTTGAATAGTTTTAGAAATGCTGTTCAAGTTCAGCTCTGTTTTGTACTTTTCTAAGTATCACGATTCAGGACGATTGCAAGCGGCATACTCTTTTTCGTGTTTTCACTGAGGGGCCATTTCGTCTTTGAAGGTATTTATTTCTTCTCCTGTATAATTTATGTGACAATCGACCCCGGCACTTCCTCTGTTGTCCCTTCTCCGTTTTGTTTGGTTGAACTTTGGCTGGCCATTTTCTGGGCCGTGTTCACAGGATTTTCTTCTTTTCTCGTTGTCGTGGGCGAAAGAGGTTTTTTATGCCTCTTCGAGAATTTGTAGTTCAGTTCAAAACAAGGAAGAACGTCTGGCTCACTATAAAAACGCTTTTGTTTGTTTTGAACTCTTCAAAAGGTGACAATGGTTTTCAAAACATTTTAAAATGGCATTGTAGAAAACCTTTTTCGCAGTTGTGTTGTGTTAGAATTTGACGATAGTTGTTACCTACATGTAGATGCGAAACAATATTGCTTAGCCTCGTTTTCAACTCGCAATTCCACACTAAATATCTCGCTTCATTAACCAATCAGAATGCGAGATTTTACTCAGTTATGCGATCTTCAGTAGAACCTAGTGTAAGTAAAGAAATATTACTTGAAAATAACAACGTCACTGTTTCATGTAAACAAATTTGTCCCGAAGCATTACATTTTCATCAAAGTTACAGGCAAAAAGAATGAACTTTAGGCCAACAAGTTTTCAAAAACCTCTATTCTTGGCTTGGAACCACGTGACAAGGCGGCCATATTGGTGGTGTGTTGGAGGTCATTACAATAGAATGTTTTTTTTTTGAAGAATTTATATGAAAATAGGGTTTAGTTTCCGGAGGAGAGAAATGCTTTTGTTCTTTACCCTAACACACCACCAATATGGCTGCTGTGACGTCAAGTGCAAACCAGCAATTGTAATCCATTTTAATCTTCTTCAAGTTTGTCTATCTGAGCCTCCTTTTGCGTTTGCTGTCTTGTTTATACCTTCTTCAACTGTTGTGAGTAGTTATTTTTATGTTTCAGTCAATATGGTGGCGGTTTCATCTGTTTAAATTTTGATAAATTTCGTGCCACAGCTCCTTTATAAAACATTAATTTCATTGAAAACTTAATATGATTTAAATAGTTTGAAAATAGGGCAGCTTACCTTTTCTTGCTATCTAATTTTCCAGCAAAATCCTGAGTCTTGGAGCGCTTTAGTAGTAAAGTCCTTAGTATACTTCGGTGTTCAAATTCTCAGTCTGCTTGACTGAGTCTCCTGTATCGAAAGGGTTGCCTCTTAAGATATATCGACAACTGAAGGTTGAACGTTCGATGATAATATGTTACAATCCTCAGATGTCCTGTGATGCTATCGAGAAGCATAATTATGGACTCAAACTTCTGAGGGAAATCAAACAAGTCGGCGTCATCGAAACGATCGATTTCACACTTTCAAAATGGACGCCAAATCGGAACCTGAAAGAGCATGTGCAAAGCGAATACCCGCTGACCAGTTGCTTTGCTGTATTGTTTCATTTCCAGGCCTCATTCGAACGTATAACCCCCAGGTTTTCTTCTTTTTTCTTCTCCTGACAGAAGCGATACCCAGCAAGCGATAAAGGCAGTTCAAAAAACAATGTAGTATTTGTAGAAAGTTAGTCAATACTCCGTTGAAATTAAGTAGCCATAGTTTTTCGAGAATGCCGTCTGTCGTCCATCGTAAGTGAGGAAATAGTTATCACGCATGTTCTCTCTGTTTTGAATTTGTTTTCGTTTAACTCGTTGTGACAAAGACACTGTATTATTTTTCAAGAGTAAGTGAAGGGCCATTTATGTTAACAATGCCTTCCAGTCACCCGAACAGAATTACAAGATCTCCAAAAACAACAAGCCAACGATTCTCATCGTTAGCGGCGTGAAAACTACTTCGGTCATGCTAAAAACAACAAAGAAAACAGATCCTACCACCAGAGTGCACGTGGCAACCTTACAGTTACTCATCTTTCATATCTCGCGTAAGAGAATGAGCGTAAAATTGTTTCAACCTTATGTTGCCTTCATTCAACCTTAAGCCAAGTGCGTAAATCTTTAACAACCTCGGCGTACCTTGGGGTCAATGAAAAATAATCGGCGAGGGCAAAAAAAAAAAAAAAAAAAAAAAAAAAAAAGGCTAGCTACCGAAGAGAGCCAAGAGGTAGTCTGTGGAGGGTAAAGGGTGG